GAGGTTTATGGCCTTTGCTTACAATGTTGCGAATCTGCTGGCTGTAGTCCGGTGGTATTTGTTACATTCTTAGACTGCAGGCTCAGAGGCCTGCAGCCGCAGGCGGGGAACGTTGGTTTCCTCCATCACTGAAGCAAGCTAGCCTCATGTTAGTTTCAAGCTGCTGGCTGCCATCTTGGCTGACAGTTAATTTGCATATCTCGCTGATTAGCCAATGAAAAGGGTAGCGGTCGTACGCCAATTACCATGTTTCTCTTTTATTAGTGTAGATTGGATTAAATACTGCTTTTGCAATTTCTAGAATTGCTAGATGGTACAGGTACTACCACTTTTTTTCCTGATAAAAATGATTAACCAGGTGAGAATAGAAGGAAAACTTGGAAAGGGAATGGTTGTGGGGGTGGGGTAACTATAATTTTCTAATAGTGTGGTTATGGCTCACAAAAATAGATCAAAGAACAACGCTGAAATAGATCTTACTAGATAGGTGAACAATATATATATAATAAAAAGGACATCAGAGACCAACACTAAGATTATAATTTATTCATAACTGTTAAAGGAGGACAAATAAAGTTTATAAACCTCACATTGTACACTGAATAAAAAGTTAAATGATAAAACTAATTCTTTAGAATGAAAAAAACACAAGCAACAGTGTGGTGTTGCCAGAGGGAAGGGAGTGGGGGGGAGAAGGGGGTCCTAATATATGGTGACCAAACAAGATTTAACTTTGGGAGGTGAGCACATGGCACAATATACAGATTTTGTAATATAGAGACCCACACCTGATACCTATATGATCATATTGACCAATGTCACGCTAATAAATTTAATAAAAATTAAAAAATAAAATTCATTTATCAAAATACCAAAAAAAGATAGTGAATGATTAAACTACTTCATTTTTTATATTACTACTAGTGTCTCGGTGCACGGATTCATGCACATTGAAAGGAAATTAATTAGAAGAAATACTTTAATATTGCTATTTGCCTTTTCCCTATAATAGAAGTGTCAACCAAATTCATGATCGACAATGACAGATCGAAACACACGTGTGATTGGCGCCAGCGAGAACTTTATATGTATCACAAATGTACGAGTCAACTTAGTCTTTTATATAGAGAGAATAAACTTGCTTAATTAGACCTGCTTTCTGATATAGCTAAACTTTTTCCAGCCCAGTGAAGCACCCCAACTTCTCTTTCAGGTAATTGTCAGCAACACAGCAGTAAATATCAATACAAAGCCGATTATTATTATAGATCATGCAGGGAGAACAAAGGGTAAAATATTTAACTGCAGCAGTGTTTGACTATATTCTGTGCAGTGAGAAAACCTGAAGTCATTTTCAAGGTCCACCATTTCTTTTCAGTCAGATCAAGTTTCTAAACTTTCTAAATCTCCATTTTCCGGCTAATGAAAAGAAAATAGGATTCTACCAAGTCTCCTATCTACCTACTCCATGACTTCTGTTAGGATAAAATGAGATGAGGCATGGAAAAATGCTTCACAAACATATGGTTAAACTGTAAAATGTTTGCACCTGGCTATAAAGCCAGTTGTGTTCCTGGGCTGAAGAAACTGCAAGGAGGCTAGTCACTAGGGAGAGGAGGCTGGGTGTTGCTACATGACATCATTACGAGGCGCCCACAGCAACCCTTTCCAGACTGGGCTGGGCTGGGCTGGGTTGTGGGCCACATTTTGTGCTATGGGGTCTTGGCAGTGTTCACTGCAATTTGGTGGGTTGTCACTCTGGGGTGGTAGTGCCTGTGTCCCACTTGGGAGAAGCCAAGTATTGGTTTGTCTGGTACCGTTTATTTTTAAATGGCCAGTGCATGTCATGGTGCACTGAGCATCTGCCCCCTGGTGGTCAGTGCACATCATAGCTACTGGTCAGATGGACGAACACTAGCCTTTTATATATAGAGGTAGTTTATTAGTTGATATATTTTAAAATAAATTTGACTAGTACTAATTTGAATTCACATTCTGTAATTTATCTATGATACCTTGGGTAAGTAAGTAAAATAACCTTTTGGGGCTTCACTTCTGTCTTCCTCAAGTGATGGTAGTAATATTTGTCAGTAGATCAAGGGTTGGCAAACAAGCACCAGTGGGCAAATACCTGCTAGCTGCCTGGTTTTATAAATAAAGTATTTTTGGAGCACACATATAAAAAGAGAGAGAAATATTTAACACACATTGGGATAAATGCTAAATCTAAGTAAAAAAAGCAATAGAATGGGTAAGGGAGATGTATTACATGCATCATAAATCAGCTATTGTATGCTTAAGATTGATTCATTTCATTATATCTAAATGTTACATCAAAAGAAAATAAATGAAAAAATAGATTAGTAATCACTAGAGACCAAGATAGATTACAGGCAGTCCTTAGGTTACGTGGGACTCAACGTATATCATTTCGTGGTTACGTCACCATCTCCCATTTATTTAAAAAAAAAAAGTTCCCTCATTTCAACGTGTGTACATATCTGCTTTGTTTTTTATTATTTATTTACCACAAGTAAAGGTCAGGAATTGTTATCTTTCTTTTAATTTTTTTTTACTGTTTCACTTCATTACTGCTGTGTATGTGTTCCATGTGAGTGACATAGGTGCTTATGTAGGTGGGTTCCAACTTACGGCAAAAATCACGTTATGTTGTTCCTGATCTCCGATGTAACCCGAGGACCTACTGTATTTATTAAATAAAACTGGGCCCTGCCAGTGTGACTCAGTGGTTAGAGCATCGACTTGTGCACCAAAGGGTCTTGGATTTGATTTCCAGTCAAGGGCAAATACCTGGGTTACATGGTTTTCTTCCTAGTAAAGCTAATTAATTATGCCCCCCACACATGTAGGAGACAATGAGTCAATGTGTCTCTCTCACATTTATGATTTATCTTTCTGTCTCCCCTTCCTTCCACTCTTTCTAAAAATCAATGGAAAAAATATCCTTGGGTGAGGATTAACAACAACAAAACAAGTCCCTGTCCTGGGAGGGGGTGGATTCTTCCTGACCGGCCACCTCTGGAAGCA